AATGGGGAAGTATTACTTATTTTGTTACATCTCAATATTGAGAAAACAATTGTAAACTATTGATATAAAGTATAAAGAGTAGAAGACTTGATTCACGCAAAGTATAAAATAAACTAGAATATATGAAGGCTTAAAATTATTTTGTGCATCAAGTTATAATAATTTGATGAAACTTTTTTCTCTCGAAAAATTGATGTTCTTTTTATATATAATTTGAATGATGCTTACACATATAAAAAATATATATGTATGATTACTTCACATTTACGAAGCAACAAAAATATCGATTTAATTCACTTTGTAGATATATGTATTTACAGAATATCGAAGAAGGGTGCGAATTTTTTCATCTGCAACAAAAAAGATCAGAAATATTTCAAAATATTTGACATTATATCGATAGATTCAGACAAAATAAATGCGGCAAGTAAATGCAATAATTAATATAAAATCAATACGTGCTTATTGTTTATATAACATTTATTATAAATTGATTAAAGAGTAATAATTATATATCAATTGTACTATATGCAATAGAAAGTAGTAGAAAGATCTATTCTCGTCGCAATTATACCGATTTGTTCTACTTATCGCACTGAAAGCAATATTCTACACACAGTTCATCGCTCATTACTATAAGTTGAGCCTATAGTTAAGACACATCACTGAAAATCGATTATTATCGTGTGCGTGAGAATGCAACAAGTGTGCTATGCATCGCGTGAGCGCGCAGGTACTTATTTTCTTCGAGACTACTTTATTCAACTCGAACATTGTCGCACGAGGGACACGATAAAGAGCGTTTTAGAATTTTTAAAACCCTCCGTTGTACGCGTCGATTCGTTTCGTGCTCTCAAGAATTTTTATTATAAAGTATCTATAGTTAAGACTACACACAATGCTCATCGATTACGAATGCGTGAGACCGTAAGTAGTGCATCTACGCAGGGGTCTACAAGTAAGGTATTTAAAACCAGTTATTATGTCATTTTTTATTCATGAATACCTTCAACGTTGTTACATGGAAAAACTTGGCGAACACAACAAGGGGTGTTTAGTACCTCTAAAATCCGTCTTTATGCACGTTGATCGTGCTCACACTTTCAAAGGTTTTTTTTTTTTCATATATACACAGTTATCTCTTGCTGAATAGAAGTTAACGTCGTTTCATGATGGGGAGATAAACGTCAGTCTATAGACCACGTCCAACATGAAAGCTTCAAAATATTCCGCGTACCAAGGTGCTTCTCATTGTAAATATATCATAATTGATTATTGTCAAGTTAAAATTAGATAAAAGCTATACTTTATCGAATAAAATAAAAAAGTAAGATACTTTTATCACATATATGTTGGTGCATAATAAAAGTATTTTCAAAAATATTTTTTAATAATTGTATTATAATATATGATTTTATTTATAAGAGTGCAAATAATTACTCGCATATTATTTATATTTTTAATATTCTAATTTTTTATTATATTGCAATACATGCATTGAAAACGATAAATTTGTTTAATCGATAAATCAATTAATACGACGCTTACAATTAATCGTCTTTACTTGTAAATTTTCAATGCAATTTACTGAAACTTCCGTAACAGATAGATTTCGAATGGGCAGTGAGGCTGAATCGATTTAGTCTAAAATTAATCGGGCTTTGGCCTAACTGCGTGCAAACTACATGGGAGAAACACATGTGCAATTTATGCACGCTTCTCGTTTTCCTAACGGTATCAACGGTTATTGTGATTCCCGCTCTACATTCTCTCATGAGGATTCATTCGGACATCATGCTGGTTATAGACAATCTACAGTTCACTCTACCGATAACTATCTGCATGATAAAAATCGTGATTTTTTGGTGGAAGAAAGAGGGTAGATGCAATTAAACAAGTTTGATCTTATTAAATAAAATAAAATATTTCACGTAATATATCTATATGTATGTGTGCGTGTGTATGTATGCGTGCGTGCGTGCGTGCGTGCGTATATGTCTCTTATACGCTATAATAACCACTTTTTATTTACAGCGCAAAGTTCAAAATTTTAAATGGAAATAAACACTTACTCATTTATATCAAATTTTGAAAAGTATAATAAGATGGTATTGGTTTTATACAATGTAACAATATTAATCGCAATATTTTATATTCTTATGTTTATTCTTTTTATAATCATATTTGTCAATAAATTAATTGTAAATATATAAGGTACTCCGTAATATACTCCGAAACCCATTTGAGGATGAATTTAGTATATGAATTTATGGAGGCATATGTTTATATATATAAACATTTTTATTATTTTATATCAAGCTAAATCCTTTTTGAAATGAGTTCTATATATATTACGGAACACTCTGTATACCATGTTTCCTTGATATCTGATTTTTTTATTTTTTTTAATATAATATATAAGCGAGATCTCTCCAGAAATTGTGCCAATAACACGATTTCCATCGCTATAGTAAAGAAGAAAACTACGGTAATACTTTATATATTTTTGAAACAATTTCCCCTGCAAAATCGAAAATGTATGTCCAAGAGCATGCGTGAGATATATAATTATTAGTTGTAAGCTTTCCTCATTTTTATTAGTTTTCTCGTTTTAATGTTTTTAAAGCTGTCGCACCGATAATAGATATGATCGCAAAGGACTGGATGAAGGCAAGAAAATCTCAGGAGAAGATGATGATGATCGCGAGAGCACAAACCGCACGCATGATTATCACATTTGGATACGGCTTCATGGTATCGGGTTGGATTGTCACAGTTATTTTACCAATGCTTGGATATTCGGTGAGATATTTGACGAATATCACCGATCCGGGAAGACCGTTGCCAGTACAGACATATTACATTTACGACGTGACCAAAAGTCCGCAATACGAGATAACATTCACTTTTCAAGCCATCGCCATGTTTCTGTGCATCATGCCTTATACAGGCATAGATAATTTCCTTAGCCTCCTAATATTCCATATTTCTGGTCAACTGGACATTGTGAATAAACGTCTCATGCGTCTGAATAATATCGCGAATTATGACATTCTAAGAAGTTGCGTGATGGATCATACGCGGCTACTTAGGTACATTTTTTTAAATATGTTAGTCATATTCTTATAGGAAAAGATATGAACATTCAAATATAATATATAAGACATAAAAACAAATCTTGTTTATAATATATAAGCGAGATCTCTCCAGAAATTGTGCCAATAACACGATTTCCATCGCTATAGTAAAGAAGAAAACTACGGTAATACTTTATATATTTTTGAAACAATTTCCCCTGCAAAATCGAAAATGTATGTCCAAGAGCATGCGTGAGATATAACGGGTGTACGTACCTCGTGTACGTGTATCGTGTACATGTGTTGTACTCGCCCCTGCGGTTAGGACGATCACTCACCTGTTATTATACCCACGTTTTTTTTTCACACATACTTGGTACATTATTTTCCGCCGCGATCACCCACCTGTTATTATATCCAAGTTTTTCTTCATGCATACTCGATACATCGTTTCCCACCGAAGGGACATAAACGAGGGATGCTCGGAATATTTAAAGAAGCTTATGGTAAGTGGTCTGGTCGTTCACCAGACAATAAAAAAGTAGGTATAGACCCGGACATATAAAAAAGATGCGTGCATGCGCGTTGCCGAATAGGAGGTGACTTTATTTCATGATAAAGAGACAGAGGCCAGTCTCTAGATAACGCGCAACATGAGAACTTCAAAGGAAACGGAATATGAAGGTGCCGTTGTTATCGTTGAATTCATACTGGAAATTAGTCTTAACAAAAATACATTCTTGCTTAAAACATATACGCGACCCGCAGTTTTAGAATAAATCGAACAAACAATCGACGTGCATTGCTATCAATAAATATCAGTTTTCTCTAATTTTTAGAATGTTTAATTGAAAGTAATACAGTTTTTGCAAAGAGTACTAATTATATTTGCGTAGAAAAATAATAAAAATGAATAAGAGGAGAAGTGTTATTTTAAAATTTTAATGTTATCTTAAAAACATAAAAACAAATCTTGTTTAGAACTTTAATTATAATTAATTCAATATAAATTAATATATATATCATAAAACGAGCCACATAATTAATATTTGGCCTAATATATGCTTGTCTTTACTTTAATGTAATAAATTGTGGCAGTAGAGAGAAGCATGTTTCTTCTCGGCAAATGTAACTATAAAATATCTTTTTCTCTATTTAAAGCAGAAATATATCCCAATAATAAAAGGAAAGAGCTTTGGAATCTGCTACAAAGATATATTTGTTTTAATGTTATCTTAAGTATCATTTTTTATAATCATTCTCTTTGTGTATAATTTGAAGAAAAATATAGCCGAATATTTATTTTTTTGAATCCTTGTTTTATGATATAATCTTTAAATTTAAAAATTCTTTCTTTAAAATTAGGAATAACTTAGATAATGAAATTTTCTTGGAATAAATAGATTTCGAATGGGCAGTAAAGTTGAATCGATGTACTTTGAAACTGATCGGGCTTTGGCCTGAGACCAAGCAAACTACATGGCAAAAGTGTATGTGCAATTTACGCGCGGCTACTTAGGTACATTTTTTTAAATATGTTAGTCATATTCTTATAGGAAAAGATATGAACATTCAAATATAATATATAAAACATAAAAACAAATCTTGTTTAGAACTTTAATTATAATTAATTCAATATAAATTAATATATATATCATAAAACGAGCCACATAATTAATATTTGGCCTAATATATGCTTGTCTTTACTTTAATGTAATAAATTGTGGCAGTAGAGAGAAGCATGTTTCTTCTCGGCAAATGTAACTATAAAATATCTTTTTCTCTATTTAAAGCAGAAATATATCCCAATAATAAAAGGAAAGAGCTTTGGAATCTGCTACGAAGATATATTTATACAAAATTAACATTTAAAAGCTTTTAGTTTATTAAATTTTAATTTTTAATGTTTATTCTCTAGTGTAAATTAATATATGACACGCGTATTATTTTATAGATCAATCGCCGTTGTAGAAGATACATTTAATGCAATACTGCTTATATTATTTCTGTATTTTGGTACTCTCTTTGCTTGTTACGGATTTGTAATGATGAGTGTAAGTTAGAAATGTAAAAAAGTTTTTGGGAGATGTTATGCTAATGATAGACAATTTACAATTTACTTTACCAGGCTTCGCCACTATGCTCAGAGTTGTAATTTTTTGGTGGAAAAAAGAAGGTTAGCCTTTTTCAAAATTTCAAATGGAAATAATAATTTAGTCGTCTAAGTTAAATTTAAAAAAATAGATAACAGGCGATAATAAAATACTTGACATAGTATTTTATATAAAATACTTAATTTTACAAAATACTTGTAATTTTTTTTAGTTTCTCTCTCTCTCTTTCTCTATTATTATAATTATAATTCAATTCGCCAATGCATACTAACTTTAAGTATATATTACATTTATTTAAATCTTGTGTAAAAGCTACGTTTTTATAATTCAAATTTTTATAAATTAAAAAAATTTATGTCTTTGATATAATTCTTAATAAATTTTTCATAAAATTTTTCTCGATATATATTAATATTTTCTCTGTTTCTCTCTCTCTTTCTCTTTTTCTTACTTTATTTTATAATAACATTTAATTTCCTTTATCCATATTATCCTGTTAAAGCTATGTCATCTAATATCATATTATAATGTGTAAACCGTTCTTAATATACATATATATCAATATAATATATTATATATATACTTACATATGTCCAATATATATATACCTAAATATATACATACAATATATCTTTATGTATGACTAGATGCTCGCAGACGGACGTCGCTTATCGATCTCTTACTTGGCATATATTATATCTGTAGTTGTCAACACGTTCGGTCACATGTGCTTGTATTGCGCTGTCGGTGAACTGTTAGCAGCTTTTCTTTATCCATATTATCCTGTTAAAGCTATGTCATCTTTAATGGATATGATTGCGAACGATTGGGTAAAACCAAAAACTTCTTGGGAAAGAATTATAATGATTACAAGGGCGCAAACTGCGCGTACAATCACCATGTTTATGTACGGCATAATGGGAATATCCTTCTTCATTGCTGTATTGATGCCTGCTTGCGGTTTTTCGATGAGATATTTAACGAACATTACTGATCCAGGCAAACCATTGCCATTACAGACGTATTATATATATGATACAACTAAAAGTCCGCAATATGAATTAACATTCATTTCTCAAGCTATCTCCATGATCTTAGGCCTTTTACCTTACACAGGCATAGATAATTTTCTTAGTCTGTTGGTATTTCATATCTGCGGCCAACTGGATATTCTGAGAAAACATATCATGCATTTAGATAAATCCACGAATTACGCTAATGCTTTAAAAAGCTGCGTGGTGGACCACACGCGACTAATCAGGTAATCATGCTTGTATCATTTGTTATAGATACATTTTTATTTATTATACAAATATGGAAATATAAAACTGTGTAATAGTATAAAAATGATTATATGTTATATACTATAGACACAAAGTGATATAAAATATAACACAATTATATAATACATAAATCATTACTCTATAGAGCTATCGCTGTTATAGAAGACACTTTTAATCTAATGCTGCTTGCATTATTTTTATATTTCGGTACTCTTTTCGCTTTTTACGGATTTTTAATTCTTAGTGTAAGTAAAGCATTTATGAAAATCTTTAGCATACAAAATATTGTATTACGTTTTTTCTACACGTATAAAAATAATTCCATTTGCACTGATATTATTGCAAGTAGTTCGTGTATTCTAATAATTTAGATAATTAATATCATATATAATCCACGCACATATATACGCATAGAGGGGTGGGGGGGGGGCAGACATGCACTCAATACATACACTCAACGCATGCACGCATGCACGCATGCACGCACACATACGAAACGCACATACACGATATTGTATTATATTGTATTAACATGTACATGGATAAATTTTATAAATATTAAAGTACTAGATGTATTGTGTGTGTGTTTGTATGAAATAATTCTTAATACTTCAATACCTTTTTGATGAATTAAAGTGTAATCGAATCCATTATGCTGCATATTCTAATAAATGGTATACTCTGGATCCAAAAGAAGCGCGGGATATAATTTTTCTAATGATCAGAACCAATGAGCCTCTCTATCTTACCGCTGGTGAAGTATTTCCTATGACAATGGCTACATTTTGCAACGTAAGTTATCCTAAAACTCAATTTTGTAACATTAATCCTACTTTCTATAAATTACCTGTTTTTATAATCATTATATAAGTCATTTTTTATAAGTTACACTTATACATTTTAACATGTAATATACATATTTTATTTTCTGATATTTTTTTACACTTATATTTACATTTTATTTTTTATATTATTTTCAATAAATACTTTTCAGTTGATAAAAACATCCGCTGGTTACATATCCGTCTTGCTCACGAGGTATTAATTCAATAACTAATAACATAATAGAAGAAATGCCTTTATAAAAAATTCTTGTGGTCTTTATATGTAGAGTCTTAGAAAAGTAAATATAAGCAAAAGAAGATGAATATTATATAGAATTTCCTAAATATTGTTTTAAATGTATATTAATAATATTATTAATATGTATGAAAAACACCTTATTACATGCAAGTTTTCAAATGTATCACCTTGTTGAAGTATAAAAATGTCTTCTTCCGTACTATGCGGAATATAAATATACAGATAATAGTATAATTAAACACACACACATATTAACACAGATATATGTATAGTGATATAATGTAAGAGAGATCTCTCCAGAAATTGTGCCAATAACACGATTTCCATCGCTATAGTAAGGAAGAAAGCTACGGTAATACTATATATAATTTCGAAACAATTTCCCCCTGCAAAATCGAAAATGTATGTCCAAGAGCATGCGTGAGATATAACGGTTGTACGTACCTCGTGTACGTGTATCGTGTACGTGTGTTGTACTCGCCCCTGCGATCCGGACGATCACTCACCTGTTATTATACCCACGTTTTTTTTCACACATACTTGGTACATCATTTTCCGCCGCGATCACCCACCTGTTATTATATCCAAGTTTTTCTTCATGCATACTCGATACATCGTTTCCCGCCAAAGGGACATAAACGAGGGGTGCTCGGAATATTTAAAGAAGCTTATGGTAAGTGGTCTGGCCGTTCACCAGACAATAAAAAAGTAGGTATAGACCCGGACATATAAAAAAGATGCGTGCATGCGCGTTAACGAATAGGAGATGACTTTGTTTCATGATAAAGAGACAGAGGCCAGTCTCTAGATAACGCGCAACATGAGAACTTCAAAAAATACGGAATATGAAGGTGCCGTTGTTATCGTTCAAGTCATACCAGAAACTAGTCTTGACGAAAATACATTCTTGCTTAAAACATATACGCGACCACAAGTTTTAAAATCAATCGAACAAACATCGACATGCATCGCTATCAATAAATATCAGTTTTCTTTAATTTTTAAATTGTTTAATTGGAAGTAATTCAGTTTTTGCATAGAATGCTAATTATATTTATGCAGAAAAACAATAAGAACAAATAAGAGGAGAAGTGCTATTTTAAAATTTTAATGTTATCTTAAGTATCATTTTTTATAATCATTCTCTTTGTGTATAATTTGAAGAAAAATATAGTCGAATATATATATATTTTTTTTTGAATCCTTGTTTTATGATATAATTTTTAAATTTAAAAATACTTTCTTTGAAATTAGGAATAATTTAGCTCATGGAATTTTCTTGGAATAGATAGATTTCGAATGGGCAGTAAAGTTGAATCGATGTACTTTGGAACTGATCGGGCTTTGGCCTGAGACCAAGCAAACTACATGGCAAAAGTGTATGCGCAATTTACGTGCGCTTGTCGTTGTGATGTCATTGTGGATCGGTATTTTGATTCCTGCCATACATTCTTTGATAAGAATTCGTGGAGATGTTATGCTAATGATAGACAATTTACAATTTACTTTACCAGTCTTCACCGCCATGCTCAGAGTTGTAATTTTTTGGTGGAAAAAAGAAGGTTAGCCTTTTTCAAGATTTTAAAATAACAATTTAATTTAATTGACTATGTTAAATTTAAAAAAAAAATAGATGGCTGAAGATAATAAAATACTTGCATAGTATTTTATATAAAATATTTGATTTTACAAAATACTTGCAATGTCTCTCTCTCTCTCCCTCTCTCTTTCTCTAGCATTATAAGTATAATTTAATTCGCCAACACATACTAATTTTAAGTATATATTACATTTATTTAAATCTTGTGTAAAATTTACGTTTTTATGATTCAAATTTTTCATAAATTAAAAGTTTTATCTCTGATTTAATTTTTAATGAATTTCTTGACAAAAATTTTCTCGATATATTAATATTTTTTCTCTTCCTCTTTCTCTCTTTCTTACTTTCTCTTATAATAACATTTAATTTTCTTTATCCATATTATCCTGTTAAAGCTATGTCATCTTTAATGGATATGATTGCGAACGATTGGGTAAAACCGAAAGCTTCTTGGGAAAGAATTATAATGGTTACAAGAGCGCAAACTGCGCGTATAATTACCATGTTTATGTACGGCATGATGGGAATATGCTTCTCCATTGCTATATTGATGCCTGCTTGCGGTTTTTCGATGAGATATTTAACGAACATTACTGATCCAGGCAAACCATTGCCATTACAGACGTATTATATATATGATACAACGAGAAGTCCGCAATACGAATTAACATTCATTTCTCAAGCTATCTCCATGATTTTAGGCGTTTTACCTTACACAGGCATAGATAATTTTCTTAGTCTGTTGGTATTTCATATCTGCGGCCAACTAGACATTCTGAAAAACCGTATCATGCATTTAGATAAATTCACGAATTACGCTAACGCTTTAAAGAGCTGCGTGGTGGATCACACGCGACTAATCAGGTAATCATGCTTGTATCATATGTTATAGATACATTTTTATTTATTATACAAATATGCAAATATAAAACTGTGTAATTGTATAAAAATGATTATATGTTATATACTATAAGCACAAAGTGATATAAAATATAACATAATTAGATAACACATAAATCATTACTCTATAGAGCTATCGCTGTTATAGAAGACACTTTTAATCTAATGCTGCTTGCATTATTTTTATATTTCGGTACTCTTTTCGCTTTTTACGGATTTTTAATTCTTAGTGTAAGTAAAGCATTTATGAAAATCTTTGGCATATAAAATGTTGTATTACGTTTTTTCTACAGGTATAAAAATAATTCTATTTGCACTGATATTATTGCAAGTAGTTCGTGTACATCAAAAAGTTTTTTGTTTTATCAAAAATATTGAAGATTTTGGATATAATCTAAAAATAATAAAGTTTGTACTAATATACCAATTTTTTATAAATAAGAACTTGAAAGATTTTGCCAAATTATCTTTGAAATTTTATGGTACTAAATAGTAATTTTTTTTGCTAATAATACGATGTGAAAGAAAATGTATGATGTTAGATCAAAATTTTATAAAACAAAGTTTTGTATCAAAAAATATGACTACGAAGATAATAACAATGAATCATTATCAAATAATCATTGTCAATAATGTTTATATTTATATATATATCGTATATAATATTAGAATGCAAATACTTTTTAATATAGTATAAGTATTTTATATAGTATAAGTATATCCACGCACATATATACGCATGGGGGGGGGGGGCAGACATGCACTCTATACATACACTCAACGCATGTACGCATGCACGCACACATACGACACGCACATACAAAATATTGTATTATATTGTATTAACATATACATGGATAACTTTTATAAATATTAAAGTACTAGATGTATTGTGTGTGTGTTTTTGTGTGAAATAATTCTTAATACTTCAATACCTTTTTGATGAATTAAAGTGTAGTCGAATCCATTATGCTGCATATTCTAATAAATGGTATATCCTGGATCCAAAAGAAGCGCGGGATATAATTTTTCTAATGATCAAAACCAGTGAACCTCTCTATCTTACCGCTGGTAAAGTGTTTCCTATGACAATGGCTACATTTTGCAACGTAAGTGATCCTACAACTCAATTTTATAACATTAACATGATTAATCCTACTTTTTATAAATTACGTATTTTTATAGTCATTATATAAATCATTTTTATTACAGTCATTTTTCATAAGAGTCACACTTATATATTTTAATATGTCATATATTTTATTTTCTGATGTTTTTTACGTTTATATTTATATTTTTTTTATATTATTCTGAATAAATACTTTTCAGTTGATAAAAACATCAGCTGGTTACATATCCGTCTTGCTCACAACGAGGTATTAATTCAAAAACACTATAGAATAAGTCCCCTTATAAGAAAGTTCTAATAGTCTTCTTATGTAAAGTTTTAAAAAAGTAAATATATACATAAAAATATAGATATTATATAGAATTTCCTATTGTTTTAAATGTATATTGTTAATATTATTAATATGTATGAAAAAAACCTTATAGAATGCAAGTATACAAATATATCATCTTGTTAAAATATAAAAATGTCTTCTTCCGCATTATGCGGAATAAATCTACAGATGATAGAATAATTAAATACATAAACACTAATGTATAATGATATAATATAAGCGAAATCTCTCCAAGAAATTGTGCCAATAACACGACTTCCGTCGCTATAGTAAAAAAGAAAGCAGTTTATACAGATTCGAAACAGCCTGTGTGTATGTGTACGTGTGTTACATTCGCTCTTGCGCTCATCACTTGATACATCGTTTCCCGCCTAAGAGACATAAGCGAGGGATGCTCGAAATATTTTAAAAAACTTATGTTAAGTATTGTTCACCTCTCAAAATGTAAAAAAAAATTATGCGCATTACCAAATAGAAATGACGTTCCATAAAGGGATATAAACCACAGTTCCTCAATAACGTGCAACATGAATATTTCAAAAAATATGGAAGACGAAGATGGTTTTTGAATATCTTGTATATATCATAGCAATGTACATAGAATAAAACTCTGCGTCCATTGCATCTCTTAATGCACACCTTTTTAGCTAGAACTTCATTAGTCTCTGCCTGAAAGAAGCTGTCAATAAGAAATTAAACATGTTAATAATAGCTTTTTTTACACAAATATCAACAATTTTCTTGAACTGTTCATTTTTTACATATTTTACATTTGTTCTAATCACTAATATAATAAAGATATACGTGATCCTTTTTATTAAAAAAAAATATAAAAAAGATTGTGACTTTTCTCCACGAACAACTGGAGAACCGCTTGTATCGCGGTTGCACGTAACCGAAGACTTTACCGCGGCTCTAAGAATCAATGTCACGAATCGTATACGGCTTATCGGATTTCGTATCGATCATATTGCTCCATGTGCAATTAGTGTATTTGCGTATTGATATGTCAGCCACATCAGTCACTCAAGAATCCAACGGTGTTATTCCATAAGTTACCAAAATTTACACAAACACTGTGTTATCTCGCCAATTTCTTCATAATTCGCATTTTCTTTGAAACGCCACAATTTTTTAATAAAAAAATTACGTATATCTTTATTATATTAGTGACTACAACAAATGCAAAATATATGTAAATTAAGATATATAAGTAAACATTATTATATAATTAATCTTAGGTTAAAATGATATATATCTATTATATAGATTATTATTTTTCATATATATCATTCTCTCCTTCTAACACTTTTATATTATAATTGGACTGACTTTGGTTCCATGATATTACATATGTCGAATACCCGAGAATACTCATGATTTTTTTTCAATTCTCTTTTTTTATAAATACATAATATAATATAAGAAACGGCGGCTTTTCTCACTTTTGGGAGCGTATCTCGTAGTCAAAATAATGCATATGATTCCAAAAACACATTTATAATTTATGATCTTATATCGCGCAAGAGGACATCTCTCTCATGAATCATCTCAGAAATCGAAAAAAAAAAAAAAACTGTCACGTTATCATTTGTGCTCTTAATGACGTACATATTGCGCTTTTCAAATTGTGTAAATAATTAATCATTAATAATCGCAACTGCGTAAACACATTCGATCGTATATATAAACAGTGATGAAAGTGTGGCGTTGGATCTTTAAAATTCTGTCCAGACCACGTTCCCATACGGGATGCTCGCAATGTTACGACTCACGTGGATTCTGATTTTCGTCGCCGTTAGCGGTAAGTGATATTTTATCGATATGTCACTATATATATTACATATAATAAAAAAAAGCAAATTAATTGCACGCATTTAAAAATTAAACTTTTTTATTTATATTGCATATAAAGTAAAATAAAATTGTTATCATTCTCTCTCTCTCTCTCTTTATCTAACAATAAGAGACAATAATCTTCATCTTGACGAGAGAAAAAAATGGCTAATCAATATTCGTGCCAGGTATCAATGCTGAGGGAGCTCAAGAAAATGATGGCGATGTTGATATCAGCAAGTATCCGTATCTCGCGTTGATTAAAAGGGACGGTAGACCCGTCTGTTCCGGCGTGATACTCGACAAGCATCACATCCTCACATCAGATCGATGCGTGCCGCCGTTCGAACATGTTTGGAACGTTATGAACTCTATATACGTGACCTGCGGTACGAGCAGCCTCAAACCCAGCGGCAAAAGTATCTTTGTAAAGGAAATGTTCTCGCAAAATCATTTCATTAATCCGGTTGAGAATCCCGTTACGAGCGGCCTTGGTGTGCTTAAGGTACATTTATGCTTTAAAATGTGCTACAAGTACTTATAAAATTTTTAATATTTAAATAAATTATATAAAAATATTATCTCTCTCTTTCTTTTCAAATAAAATATTAAAAATTATTAGTTGATTCATCTTTATGGCATTTAGTCGGTCAGGTGTATAAAACATTGAAATTAAAAAAAAAATTTCGGTTTTCTACATCCGCTTGTAGATTTTAAAATTTTTATTATCTTTGTTGGTTCCGGAAAATCTTATATACCTTTCGCGATATATATCACAGATTATAATAATTGAATGAATGATCTTTTGCAGCTCATAGAGCCACTCCAGTTCGGAGAAAACGTGCAGCCGATTCAACTATCCGAAACGGAAGTACCGCTCGACGCGAAACTACAAATGGTTGGATGGATGGTGTCCGATCGTCAAGGGAACAAGACGGCACATCTCAAGAAAGTCACGTTAAATACTATAAAATCTCAAGAATGCCAGCCGTTCCACAAGAAGAACCTCAGTGAGTCTGAATTCTGCACTCGGCCGGAACTCGAAGGCAAATTTTGCAAGGTAAGCGATTGTAACGCAAAATATGTCGTCAAGCATAAAATCGAAAATCTTTATATATCTTACATTTTCATTTTACAAAATTTAATTGTGTCTTGTAAATATATCGTTCAAATACATGTTAATATCGATAAAGATCGGGCAATCGTGTATAGATTTAAAAAAAGCTTTTTACACAGCATTTCTAATACAAATTTTTCTCTCTTTCTTTAATTAACTAAATTTATATTAATTAATGCCTATAATAATAATTAATACTAAATAAAAATAATAAATAATGATTTATATTAATAAA